TAATAAAGGCCATATACAGCAAACCCACAGCAAACATCATTCTCAATGGTGAAAAACAGAAAGCATTGCCTCTAAGATTAGGAACAGGACAAGGATGTCCACTCTCACCGCTGTTATTCAACATAGCTTTGGAAATCCTAGCCATGGCAATCAGAGAAGAAAAAGAAATAAAAGGAATACAAGTTGGAAAAGAAGAAGTAAAACTGTCACTGTTTGCAGATGACATGATACTATACATAGAGAATCCTAAAGTTGCCACCAGAAAACTACTAGAGCTAATCAATGAATTTGGTAAAGTTGCAGGACACAAAATTAATGCACAGAAATCTCTTGCATTCCTATACATTAATGATGAAAAAATCTGAAAGAGAAATTAAGGAAACACTCCCATTTACCATGGCAACAAAAAGAATAAAATACCTAGGAATAAACCTTCCTAGGGAGACAAAAGAACTGTATTCAGAAAACTATAAGACATTGATGAAAGAAATTAAAGATGATACAAACAGATGGAGAGATATGCTATGTTCTTGGATTGGAAGAATCAACATTGTGAAAATGACTATACTACCCAAAGCAATCTACACATTCAATGCAATCCCTATCAAACTACCAATGGCATTTTTCATAGAACTAGAACAAAAATTTCACAATTTGTATGGAAACACAAAAGGCCCCAAATAGCCAAAGCAATCTTGAGAAAGAAAAACGGAGCTGGAGGAATCAGGCTCCCTGACTTCATACTATACTACAAAGCTACAGTAATCAAGACAGTATGGTACTGGCACAAAACCAGAAAGATAGATCAGATCAATGGAACAGGATAGAAAGCCCAGAGATAAACCCACACAAATATGGTCACCTTATTTTTGATAAAGGAGGCGAGAATATACAATGGAGAAAAGACAGCCTCTTCAATAAGTGGTGCTGGGGAAACTGCACAGCTACATGTAAAGAATGAAATTAGAACACTCCCTAACACCATACACAAAAATAAACTCAAAATGGATTAAAAAGCTAAATATAAGGCCAGACACTATAAAACTCTTAGAGGAAAACATAGGCAGAACACTCTATGACATAAATCACAGCAAGAGCCTTTCTGACCCACCTCCTAGAGAAATGGAAATAAAAACAAAAATAAACAAATGGGACCGAATGAAACTTAAATGCTTTCGCACAGCAATGAAAACCATAAACAAGACGAAAAGACAACCCTCAGAAAGGGAGAAAATATTTGCAAATGAAGCAACTGACAAAGGTTTAATCTCCAAAACTTATAATCAGCTCATGCAGCACAATACCAAAAAAAAAAAAACCGTATCCAAAAATGCGCAGAAGACCTACATATACATTTCTCTAAAGAAGATATACAGATTGCCCACAAACACATGAAAGAATGCTCAGCATCACTAATCATTAGAGAAATGCAAATCAAAATACAATGAGGTGTCACCTCACATCAGTCAGAAGAGCCATCATGAAAAATCTAGAAAAAATAAATGCTGGAGAGTGTGTGTAGAAAAGGGAACCCTCTTTCACTGTTGGTGGGAATGTAAATTGATACAGCCACTATAGAGAACAGTATGGAGTTTCCTTAAAAAACTAAGAATAGAACTACCTTGCAACCCAGCAATCCCACTACTGTGCTTATACCCTGAGAAAATTATAATTCAAAAAGAGTCATGTACCACAATGTTCACTGCAGCTCTATTTACAATATCCAGGACATGGAAGCAGCCTAAGTGTCCATCGACAGATGAATGGGTAAAGAAGATGTGGCACATATATACAATGGAATATTACTCAGCCATAAAATGAAACAAAATTGAGTTATATGTAATGAGGTGGATGGACCTAGAGTCTGTCATACAGAGGGAAGTAAGTTAGAAAGAGAAAAACAAATACTGTATACTAACACATATATGTGGAACCTAAAAAAAAAAAAAAGGTTCTGAAGAATCTAGGGGCTGGACTGGAATAAAGACACAGACGTAAAGAATGGACTTGAAGACATGGGGAGGGGGAAGGGTAAGCTGCGACGAAGTGAGAGTGTGGCATGGACTTTATTATATACTACCAAATATAAAATAGATAGCTAGTGGGAAGCAGCCTCATAGTACAGGGAGATCAGCTCAGTGCTTTGCGACCACCTAGAGGGCTGGGATGGGGGGTGGGAGGGAGACTCAAGAGGGAGGAGATATGGGTGTATAGGTATATGTATAGCTGACACTTTGTTATAAAGCAGAAACTAACACACCATTTTAAAGTGATTATACTCCAGGAAAGATTAAAAAAAAAGAAAAACAACTGTTATGCAACAAGTCCTCAGATACTCCTGAAACCTAAATAATAAGAACTAGTTATGCAAGAAGCAAGATGTATGTGTATGTGTGTATATATATATTCTTATTACATTTGTTATCATAACATATTTACTCAACACATTTTCTGAATAGCTATAATGTAAAATATATTATGCTGGGAATACAAAATATATAAAGCATAGCTTGTTATGCAACGATGTAACTAATTGCTGAGGATGACATAAACACATGCACATATATATGTATATTTGTGTGCATGTGTGTATGAAAATAACTTAGTATTTTATATTCTATATGAATTCTCACTTGTAGCATGGCTACCCCAGTTAAGCACAAATACCATATTATTTTCATACTTTTAAGAAGTCACCATAAAAGTTAAAATATTTATGATTTTAAAAATGTATCAGGATTCCTACATGGCTAGTTTTGCAGGAATAAGGCTTAGGTAGGCTTGCAAGCTGGACCTGCTAGCAGGGATTATGTGCCTGGAAAATGAATGCTTGACTCAGAAATATTCTGGAGTTCTTACCAGTTTTTGTACCTGGCAAATGCTCAGACACATAACTAGATTCTTCAGAAGAGTTGGGAATACATGAAATGAAGCTTTTTGAAAGACATGATGACATCCTTATCTGAAACTGGCAAGACTGCTGGCATCCAGCCACCTTTCTGGGTAGGCCAGGGAAGTTGCCTTTGAGACGAAGTGCTGTTAGATTATACCCCCTGTTCTGCAAAGTCACCTTGGGATGCAGATCTTCTTCTCTACATTAAATGAACTCGGCTTTGCCTATGTCTATTGATGGCTTTCAGTCAATTACATCCTTGTGACACTAGAGACAACTGTGTCTATTTATCTTCATGTGCTATGATAGGACTGAATTTTAAGATCTTGTGCTGAACTTATATATGAAATTTATTAGGAAGCCAAAAAAAAAAAGGAAATTTAGGTTGTCAATAGAATCCTGGAAGTTAGTACATTCTATGGAGATAAGAGATCCTGGTTCTTGAACCTTCAATTTAAAATTCCCTAGAGCCAGTGGGTTTCACAGCTTGCCCAGAGAGGGTGAGCAGGGTGAAAACGAATTGCCCTGTGGCTTTAGGAACACTGAAGTTTGGTGCATAACTCTGGAGGAAGCACACAATCCTGTGATTACCAATACGAATGAGGTGCTCCAAACTTTATCAATTTCCTCTGTGGTTACCTGAGCGTGTCTCTTATTTTCTGGAGAATTAAGGAGAGGTTTCGTTAAAAAAAAAATTTTTTTTTTCTTTCTGAAACCTGTTTTCACATGAACCTCCTACCCATGAGCTTATTATCATGAGTATAAAGGCCAGTGAGGAAAAAATGTAATATTAAACTGTGGAATGGAACTTGCCACCTAAAAGCTGCATTCTTTAGAGATAAAACTAGTAATCAGTTGGAAATCAGCCAAGATATTTGACAAATATAAGTTTGCATATTTATAGGATAAACAGCAGACTGAAATCTGAGTTTCTAAAGAGCAGGGACAGGGAATGGTTAAGCAGCACCCAGAACATTGCTCCTCTCACCACTCATACTCCTCATACATAAGCCCATGTGTTGTTACCTGCCCCAAACATAATCCTTCCATATCTCAATTATACTTCCAAATTTAAAGTCAGATAATCTAATCTGCCAGCATCTTTAAGTCTTATATAAAAATAGACATTTTGGACTAATTGCTATTTTCCAAGTTACAGAAGAACCACAGAAAGAAAACAACATCATTGTTTATTGAAGTGTATAATTTCGTCTACTTCATTCTTTTTCTCGAAGGCCTTGCCACCATGTTGTTAACAAATAATACATCAACTAAACTATACAGCAACACTCCTGGAGTTTGAACAGATCGTGTTTAGTTTGCTTCTTCTCTTTAACAATATCCACACTACCTGCTATCCAAAATACCAGGGCATCATCCTCTAATAACCCAACACCAGTGACATTGTTAAACTTCTTAATATCATGAATTTAGGTATTTTTAATACTAAAAGCAAATACAAAGCGCAGTATGTCTGCATTTTTTTTTGTTAGAACTCTAACAGTGATTTCATTGAAAATAGTTAAAAATCTATCATATTCAGCTCTCACAGTTAAACAATTATCTGTGGAGAAAGTCAAGCAAAACTTTAGCTCCTAATATCTGCCTGAATTATCTATATATTACTAGATAATTATGTAATCTACTCTTACAACTTCAGATTGCACACAGCATTGCAATGATTAGGTCTCCACAATTTAAGCAAAGGGATGCCTTGAAATAGGTGGATAATTTGGGCAAAGCGCACGCAATTGCTGAAGCAGAAACATGAACTATGAAAACAAAAGAGTATTATAATCTGAATTAGCAATTACTTCCAATCTCCATTTTGCTTCATTGCACATGGTCAGTATTTAACCATTAGGCTTGTTGATTCTTTGGCATTAACCAATGACATAACACCATCATAATCAACACACACATACTAATACAATTCTTTTCCATTAGTGTGTATTAGTTCAAGTAATAGGCAGATTTAGGGAAATTATAGTTTAAATTGGGTAGCAATAATGTAGAAATATTGTTTACTAATCCAGTTCCAAAAATCACCTCATTTTCTTCCCTTGTCCCCCCAGTCTCAAAATACATAGAAAAAAAATGTACTTACACTGCACGATGAGCTGCACCAAGGCTTCTCTTGGTTTCACATTAAATCCATTGTACTGGCTGGTCTGACATCGGTACATTCCTGACATTTCCCTAGATACATTCACAATCCTCAGTGTTCCATCATAACTCTCCATTTGCATTGACCCATCAGGCATTGCAACTTCTTTATCCGCTCTAGACCAAAGGATGATGGGTTTAGGTTTTCCAGTTACTTGACACTGCAGTTCTATTGTGTCTCCTTCTCTGGTGACCAAAGGTGATTTTTCCTGTGGAACAGTCAGATTGGGTGGAACTTGAAATGGGAAAAAGAAAATTTTTCAAGGTTAGTATGTACTGGTAAATCATATTCAAACACAGAAAATCATAAGGAAACAACTTCTGCTGGTTGAAGATGTGTGACAATTCAGATGAAAAACTTACAGAGACCTTGGGGATAGGTGGCACTTACCCTCACTTAAAATAATTCTAAATTGTTTTCGTAGAACTTTCTCAAATGAGGTCTTCAAACATTAGCAAAATAAAGCATTACATTGGAATGCGAACGGTCAACATAAGAACAATCTACTCAATGACTTGTCATTATCAGCCATTAACTGGGTCTTTAAGATCTGCATTTCACAGAAGAGTGATCCTACTTGCTGAGGTAAGATTTAGCTTTTCAGTCTTCTGCTTCCTATGCTGTTATCTCTTACCCAAGGATGGTATAAGAAAGGGATAAGAGACATTATAGACTTAGCAGGCACAGTAAATGCAATAGGAAAGAGAAAAAGAAGAACCTCTGATATAAAACCAGAAGTTCTAAATCTGGTTTAGAAACTGTTGCCAAACTGCTAAGGTTTAGGATTCGTTCTCTCCCTCGAGGAAATGAAATGGAACAACTGACTACAATGCCACACTCTGACAATCCAGTGTATTGTTCTTTTCGACTTTTAATATTTTTTGACATTTTAATTTCAAATGATTTCACTTTAAGATTTTGAGATCACTGTACATAGTTTGTCATGATGCTGCCACTATTTCTGTAAAATTAATTTTAAGTGAGTTTTCAAAAATATATTTCAATAATCTAAGAATTTAATTTTCTCAAGTAAAGCTAATTTCTGATTTTACTGAAGATATTTATGAGAAAATTAGATTGATTTTACAGGAACTTACCTTACTGTGCTGGAATATATTTATGTTAGGGTTTGGTGAAAAATGAACTAATAAGAGGCAAGTACTACTCAATGAGTTTTCCTACAAACAATATCACCTGTTCCACTGGAAGACTTTTACTTCTCATACAAATGTGTATGAATTCAAAACTATTTATGCAATAGGACATCTATCAAAAAAGCATGGGCTACGTGAGCCGTGGCCGCTGGGCCTGCGCGTCCGGAGCCTGTGCTCCGCAAATGGGAGAGGCCGCGACAGTGAGAGGCCCGCATAACGCAAGGAAAAAAAAAAAAAAAAGCATGGGCTAAATTAGAAGGACAGAATAAGAATAACCAGAAATATATGAATAATTCTATCATTGTGATAAATGTCATATGCTTCCCCTCTTTGGAGTTAATACTGAATATGGACAAAAAAGGCAAAGGTTTTATTCTCCCTTCTAGCATTACTGTGCTCCAGTGCCCAGGAACAAAAACAAATATAATTAATGTTTAAAGTATTTTTCAACTAATATTGAAATGTTGTTCCTCTTTATTACACATAGAGAAAAATAAATTTAAGTACAAAGTAATATGAGAATTAGTTATCTTGCTATTTAAATATCTTCATGTCTTTTTCATTTAATCCCTTCATTTACTTCTAATTAAAAAAACAAAAAGTAAATAATGCTAGCATCTTAGAAATCAGAAAATATGAAACACTAACCACTACCTTCTTGAAGTAGATATATATATATTCTAGGAACTGGCATTAACAAAAAACATGTTTAAAAATGGCTGCATTTTTAAAACCTCCATGATTAGATAATTTACTCTTGTAAATATAAACAACTAAATAATTTAGTTAAATAATTTGTTCTTTTTGAAGTGAACCACCAGGGAATGATGCAATTCTAAATAAGCATCATCTAGTAACAATAGGATTGAAAGAAGCTGCAATATTTATTCACCCTCCATGAGAAAGGACACAGAATAACAGCAATAACCTCAGCATTTAACATTAATTATGCTCCTATTGTGTGCCAGGCATAGTTAGGGATTTTACATTTTCATTAATTCTCATGACAATCCTAGGATCAAATATTTAATATTAAAATTTAACAAATGAGAACACTGAAAATGAGAGGATAAATACTTTGAACAGAACTCAAATTGAGGACAATTTATAGCAGGTGGCCAATGTAGAGATATGAACCCTGAAGCAGGCTCCAGTAAAGTATGGTGTCTGGAATGAATAACTTGAGTTAGTACTGGACTCTTGCTCATAATTAGTCTGTTCTTATGGACAAACTGGACCAGTTTTACCTGCCCATCTCTTGGTTACTGTCTCAGGGACAATAAAAAAGAGTCAAGGTAGAAATGCGAGGGAGTAAATAACACGTATGTTGCAAATTAGCTTATCTATCTGTCTTACATCTTATATGTCTATTTTAAATATCTGTATCTACCTGTATGAGAATAATTCCCGTATACAAGTCAAAACTTCTTATAAGATATACCACTCCAAATAAATATCCAAATTATGATACATTTATGTGAAATCAATGAAAATAAATTATACATTAAAAGATTATTTAATGGAATGTTATTATTTGAAATCGGAAGATTTCATCTCTTCCAAAATCAAACCACATGACCTTGGCCAAGCTTAAGCACTCTGAGTATGAATTTCTTCATTTTCAAAGCTAAGAATTTATACTTTACCAGCTCCAAGGTTATTAATGTTCTGACTATAGGAACAAACAGTAAAAAGTTAAAGATAGGAGTGGGGCTAATAATAAGTATCTATTTTCTAACTTAATAAGATGAATATTCAAAGATCTTATTACATTAGGCCAGTCTAACAAAAACAGATCCTTGACTAGCTATATTTTTTTAAGTTTATCATGCTAGATAGTTCAAAAACTCCCTTGTTAATGTATGTTATTCATTTGTTAGATAAACTTTTCTCCCGATGTAATCAAAATCATAGAAATGTAAACCTCAGTTTCAATCTAGGTAAGTTACAAGCTGATTTTTTAATAAATTTGCTCATTTTAAAATAAACACCAAAGGCTAATTAAAATAAAGTTTATTTTCCATCTCTTCCATGAGGCTTTTTAAATCTTGATTTCAGAGTTAACCCTTTCTTTGCAACTTTCTTGGACAAGAAGTTCTTAAAACTTGTCATAGTTTTTATAGACTTCTCTCTCTCTCCACATTAAATTTTCCATTCTCTAGAATGCTCTAAATTATTATCATAATTTTTCTGTCAGGAGATTTTGTTTGTTCTCATGAATATCTCTCTGTTTTGCATGTTTATAATGTGAACTGTAACTTTACCCCAATGTTCTTCCAGTCAATGATTGCAGCCTACTACTATTTTCCAAAAGTCTTGCAAATCCCCAAACCTAAGCACTATTTATTTCTTGACTTAGTTGTTAGTTAATTATCAGGACACTTGATCTGCTAATTGAAAACAATAGACTTTTCTTTGTTTCACCATCTTCTAACTCACCACTTCCACTCAGCCGCTTTGGTTTCTCTATCAAAAATAACCCTCATATCAGCCTAGCTTTCTTGGTATAAGTCATCCTTATCTCTTCTTGTGACAGTGTCCTAAGTGGTCTTTCTGCTGCCAGTTTAATTCTTCCAGGCCTCCTGCTTCTGTGTCATAAACTTTATCAACATAAATAAAATCATTTTCCTGTAACTATGAAAAACTTCAATCCTCAATGAGTGTGCTCATCATAATACTGCTTTAATTTAAAAAAATAATAACTGAAAACAGCCTGACAGATTAACTAAAAAAAATCGTGTTACAGTCACATAATAGATTATGATACAGCCTTTTTAAATGATGATGTAATAGACCCACATTTATTGACAAAGATATTTATATTGTTAAGCAAGAAAAACATGCTAGTGAATAGCATGAATAGCTACAACTACTATTAAAAAGTGAGTAAGACATGTTACTGAGAAGTATGTACAGTATCACATTTTTATATAAAAAAGACATGCTAATGACTGATAACAGAGAGTTTCTTAAAGGGATAATATACATGATTCATCTTTATACTTGCAGCATCCCACACTCTATTTTACACATAATACGAACTCAGTAAAAATGTTTATACCAAATGTACAAATTAAGACAGTGAGGCAGTTGAGCACTGATTTATGGAAGAGAACAAGATTTACATGGGGAAAAATGTAGAGGAAAAGAAAGCCCAGAGGGAACTATACCAAAACACTAACAGTGGTTCTCCCTGAGTGTGGGATTATTGGTAATTTTTTTGTATATTGTTCATTTTTCATTCTTCTATAATATGTGCTATGCATATTATAGTCTTCAAGAAGCCCAGAGAAAATTAAAATGTTAATGCAATCTATTATCCAAAGCTCATTTGATGAAAACTCCACTTTTTAATAACAACAAGTGTATCACTCTAGACACGGTATTCTAGAAACATAGTCTTAGAAATGCTCCTCTAGAATCACTCACTCCTACAACACTCATCTCTTACAATTTCACTGACTAGTGAACCTCAGTGCCCTTGCAGTTCTTTCCTGTATTTGGCAAGTCAGGCCCTTGTCTTCTAGCACCCCCTACCTGCCCCATGTGTTGAGATTTAGTTCAAAGTTACTGCTTATGTGATGATATTTTGCCTACCCCTAGGCTGAGTTTGTTGCTCACTCTTCCTGACCACATATTACATTGTATACCCATTTAACCTGTACTCGAAGCTTCACCCTGTATCTTCTTCCATCTCTATATCCCTGACCAGATAGCTCCTTGAAGGCACAGAGGGTCTAACTCTGATGCCTTGCTTTCCTGGATGGCACAGACCAGGAAGTCATGAAATAATTGAGGAAGGAAGAGGGGGAGAGAGGGCAAGAGGGTAGGAAGGGGAAAAGATTAAAATCTGTGAACATAAAAGAAATAAATGTAACAGATAAAAATCATGAACATTTTAAAAAAAGTAATAAATAACAATGTAATGTAATAATTCTATATAATCAGTGATCCATACAACTAGCAGAATCTCCTCTAAAATATATTGTTAGTATAGATTTCAGATGCAGTAGATCTTCAAATTTGTGAAGGTGTGTGAGAGATGAGACAGTAAAAACAGGATTCGTATAGTTTTCCTTT